TTTCTACCAAAATTACAAAAAAGCCAATTATAAAAAAGAAAAAATAATCTTTGCTGGTTGGTATACAGAAAAAAAGAATAATAAAATTCTTACAATTAAGTTTTCTTCTAGTATTTATAATTAAAAAAATAAATATTGTTTACCAGAGAACAACTTAGAGAAATTAAAGAAAAAAACATCGAAAAATCCCTTCTTGAAATCTTGGATTCTGAAGCATTTATTAACAAACTAATGCTCAAGGTCAATGATACTTAAGAAAAAAACTGGACAAAAAACTAAATGAAATAAAATTAACATATTAGAAGAAAAAATTGACTCGATGGAACAATATTCTTGAAGAAATAATATACGCATCTTTGGCCTAGCAGAAAAGTTAGGAAAACCACTAATAGAAGATATTAATAATGTCCTTGATTCAATGGAAATTGGGACAAGAAACATTTTTTAATGTTATAGAATAGGCAAAATTAACGTTAACAAACCTAGAGCTGTTTTTGTCAAACTACAAAATTATGAAGATAAAATTGAATTAATTTAAAAATAGAAAAAAATAGTTTCTAATTGTCACATCAAAGAAATTTTAACTGCAGCATCCGAGAAGTTTGGATTTAAAAATGTATGGAGCCTAAATGTTATTGTTAGTTATCCACCGACAAAATTATACACGTTTAGCATAATATTCCGGGTGTAAAAACTATACTCTTTGTAAATGTTATGGGTATAAAGCTGGCTCGTGAAGTGTGTGTATTACCCGTTTTAGTGAAATGTCCAATTGAGTAGCGATTCTTATGGTGCTGGTCGTTGCATCTTCTTCCACTAGATCCAAAATATTTTCCACAGCAGCTGTGTCATTGCCATTACCGAAGCCATAAACAAAAACCATTTTAGCATACTCTAAATTTGAATAAACTTTTGGCATTTCAAAAAAATTTAAACTGTAAATCATATGTATAACTAATGAAACAATCCATATTTTTTCAAAGAACATTAGATAATAATTTAATTTTTTTTTTAAATATCGATATAACTTGAAAACAAATAGGAATCGGATAAGAACATTTGAGTTTATTTTATTATTTTGATGTGTAGAATGCAGTCCTGGAGTTCGGTGCGATCCTTCAGATTCATCCTGTATATATACAGCGTGTCTGCGGATAGAGTAGGATCTACACCTACACAATAGGAAAAAATCTTTGTTATTCATTTTACAGTAAAAAAATAAGTTTTGCTTGTTAAAAAAACTATTTTGCAATACAAAAATTTGTGATCCGATGCACAGGGTGTTAATAAATTGGAAAACCATTCAAATGCTTTAAGAGAGAAGTACACTTTTCTGCTATCTTAATAAATCTACCGTATACTTTCCAAATAATTCGCTGCCTATTCAGTTTATCTGTTGCTTCCTGTATGCGCTTCTTTAATACTTCCCTGTCATCTGTCATCTGTCAATGCTCCTTTTGACGAAGGTGTATTGAGAAATTGTTCATGGAAAATATCTATAGACTAGACACATTTCCAATACGGTAACATTCTATTAAATAAATAAGCTAATAAATAAGACGTTTACAAAATGAATACATAATTTTAAATATTGACATTTTTATTTAAAAATGTGTACCTTTTTAGACTTTGTGTTGGTTTATAAACAACATTGTTCCATCAAATTTTTCTTAAAAGTAATTAATAATGGCACTTCTATGTGCATATTAATGTTTTTTTAATTTATTAACACCCTGTATGTACATCTTAAATTTTTATGTTGTAAATTAACCCTTTTAGTACGGCTGACGTATTAAAAAAAATAACTTCTCCTAATATAAATAACAACGATTTTATTGCTATTGTGTACTCCATCCGCGGACCCACTATATATTTATTTTTTAAATTAGAAATACTAGAAGGAAATATGAAAATTTTAGTGTGATACAACTTCAAAAATTAATACATTCATAAATGTATTGCCTTTTATTGTAAGTTTAATTGTTGTTTTTCTCTATTATTTTTATCGTGAATATGTAATTTTCTATTTATCTTAAGAATCCATGAAACTTTTTATATGTTATTTATTTAATTTAAAATAAGGTTCTTCATCCATGTAAAATTATATTTTATATTTAAAATTCTATTTTGACAAAGTTATTTATAAACTAATAGAAAATCACACTTTTCTGCTATCTTAATAAATCTACCGAACACTTTCCAAATAATTCGCTGCCTATCCCGTTTATCTTTTGTAGTTAGGGAGCTGGTGGCAATTTCGGTATATGATTTGCTCGTCGTTGGCAGGCTCAGGTATCGCTGCTTTTTTTTAAAGTAATTTTTAAACTTGTAAAAAAAAAACCTAACCTAAGTCATTTGCTCGTGTCTGGCATTTAGGTTTTATATTATATTGACCATATTGATACTAAAATAACATTTACCAGACGTCTAGGACGCTGCGTTTTTTTTTTTAAATATGTAAAAAACAAATGCTCTATTAAGTGATTTGCTCGTCTTTATCTTATTTTTTTAATTGTTCATTTGTGTCCCCTAAATAAAAAAAAATAATGCCAGACATGTATGTCTCTGCTTTTTGCAGCAAATAATTTTTAAAATTGTAAAAAATAATACCTAGCATAAGTCATTTTCCTCGTGTCTGCCATTTAGGTTTTATGTTAAATTGGCTATATAGATACTAAAAAAACATTTTGAGGAGTATAGGAAAAAACGTGCAAAGTCAAAAAACTTAAATTTTTAGAAGAGCAATTTTAAACTTGAAAACTGTGTAATCTCTGGGTCCGTTTAAAAAACTAACTGCTTTTAGGAACTATATTAAAACAACATTATGGTAAACAGTAATGTTAAGTGTAAAAAAAATAATACCATTATCTTTGCTTTTTTAGCTACCATACCAAAAAATATCCAAATTGACTTTGCACGTTTTTTCCCTGTAGTCTTCAATTGTTAAATATTAATTTGTGTTATGTTATTAAACAAATTTGGCTATGTTCGGGTGCAAACTTGATATAAAATTTCCAATAATTATTATTACTAAAATACTCTATAAAGTTTGCATACATTTTTTCAAGTTTGCGTATTTCCTTTTAAGTATTAATAATTTTTACTAAGTTAACAATAATTTGGTTAACGGAAAAGGGTGCAAAACCGGATTTATCATTCTTATATCTTCCCCAATGTTATCTTAAAATTTGAAAACTTTCGCACTTTTTTAGACCTTTTAACAATATTTTTTTTTTAATTTCAATTAACATAATATAAAAAATAACATGTTTGTACGGGGGTTACCAAACTTGGGGGGTTAAAAGATCATATGACCCCATGACCTCATTTCAAATTTCAAGGTAATATTTTAAAAAATGCCTGTATATAATTGCCCATAATTGCCCATAAAAAAAATAAAATAATAATAAAAAAAATATGTTTGACCTCTGACCCCATACGGAAGTGTAACTGAGGGTCACCAAACTTGGGGAATCGAAAGATTACATGATTTTATGACTTTACAAATTTTAACGTTATAAGACTTGTAATAGCCTTTTCTCAAAATATCTACCCTAACCTAAAACCGTTCTGGCTATAAAAAATCAGCAATACTCATGTCTGGCCTAATTATATTGACAGTTCTGACATTCAACAGAATAATTTAACCAAGAGCCAGACACGAGCAAATAACTTAATATTAACTTTTTTTTACAATTTTGAAAATTCTTCGTTCATTATCGCAGTAAACATTAAATGGCAGACTTTTATTTTTTACTTTTTTATGACCCAATTAACATTTTGTATAAATTTTATTGACGAGCAAATCATTTAAATTTTTATATATCATAATTAAAAAAAAATTAAATACTCATTAATGCAGAGACATACACGTCTGGCGATGATATTTATCTGAAAGTCTTGTTAGGGACTTCAAGTTAAAAAAAATGCCAGACGCGAGCAAATGACTTAAGGACATTTTTTTTACATATTTAATTACCTACTAATTAATAATGCAGCAATAATGGTATGGCAGAAGTTGTCATTAGTGACTTTTATAATCCAAAATTCATTATTTTCAACTTCTGCCACGCAAGCAAATGACTTAAAAATTTCTGCCATCAGCTCCCTAACTATTGCTTCCTGTATGCGCCTTTAATACTTTCCTGTCATCTGTCATCTGTCAATGCTCCTTTTGACGAAGGCGTATTGAGAAAGTTTTCATGGTAAATATCTATAGCGTAGACACATTTCCAAATAGGTACCAATTTTAAATATTGTCTTAGGTAATTTTAAATATTGTCATTTTTATTTAAAAATGTGCACCTATTTAGACTTTGTGTTGGTTTATAAACAACTTGGTCCCATACAATTTTTGTTAAAAGTAATTAATAATGGCACTTCTATGTTAAAGCATATTAATGTTTTTTTAATTTATTAACACCCAGTATGTACATCTTAAATTTTTATATTGTAAATTAAAAAGCTAAACATATTTAAAAAAAGTTACTTCTCCTAATATAAATAACAACGATTTTATTTCAATTGTGTACTCCATCCGCTGACACACTGTATATTTATTTTTTAAATTAGAAATACTAAAAGGAAATATGAAAATTTTAGTGTGATACAACTACAAAAATTAATGTATTGTCTTTTACTGTAAGTTTAATTGTTGTTTTTCTCTATTGCTTTTATCGTGAATAGGTTTCGTATTTATTTTAAGAATCCATGAAATTTTTTATATGTTATTTATATAATTTAAAATAAGGTTCTACATCTATGTAAAATTCTATTTTATATTTAAAATTCTATTTTATGTTTAACATGTCATTTCTGTATTAAACATTATTTTATTATAAGTGTGCTATTAACATATCAAATAATAATATTTGATTAACGATATTACGATATCTCTTATGCAATATGATAGGATACAATATGCTGGTGAATCACGCGAAAATATATTATCCATAATTTACAAGCATCTATTTAACTATAGATAACAATATTTAACTTACGTGTATCTTATTTTCAGTATGGGTAGGATGCAAATTTATGAATTGAGGTCGCATAGCTTCTTTGTACGGGGATTTATCCTTATCTTCGTGATGTTCTCTATGGTCTTTCTTCTCCTTATGTTTATCCTTATCTTGGTGCTCAATATCAATAGCATGACCGTGGTAATCCCTATAAATCCCTTGGGAATCAATGAAATGCAACTGGAATGTATGTGGGACCCCATGAGAATCGAGATACTGCCCAGAATCCCTTTTATTTTCGTGGTGACCATGACCATGACCTTCGTGACCATCGTAGTGATGGTGTTCGACTGGAGTATGGGGCAAAAATGGAAAGTGATGGTGGCCACTTGCATGAGACGAACTTTCTACATGGTGTTCTGATTTTCCATGATGGTCTGACTTTCCCGAATGCTTATCGCTATGGTGATCTTTACCATGATGGTCTTTTCCATGGTGATCTTTATAGTGATGAGGATGTGGCACGTGGTGGTGCGAGGACTCAACCAGGGTAGGTTGGATGTGAGTCACAAATTGCGCCATAATGTCTTTAATTTACTGACATTTTTTATAGTTTATTTTGATTTATTTTTGATTAAATAGTGGTTATAGCCTCTTAGTATTACTTCGATTTTATTGTAAACTTTAAGTAAAAAACAATTAATTAAATACTTTGTTAAAATGCATGTTGGCTAATCTAATATTAAAAACCAAAATTCGTTTTAAACTGAACAATAATTTAATGTTAAAAGCAATCTAAATAAATTTTAGTTGTTACTATATAAAACTTTTAATGTTTTAGATCAAACTAGGAAATCATATTATAATGCCTTATATAAATTAAGCCCAAAAGAGAAATATAATCACTACCCACCAAAAAATCTAGATTTAATACACAGGTTACGTTGTACACCATCAAAGGAAATAACAAACACGAACAAAAGAAGAAGAAAAGCGCACAGTAAAGAGTCAATATTAAATATTTGTGCACAGAATTAGTCTACTAAATATTATTGTCTAGATAAATTTAACACCAGGATAGACTTAAAGGAGCAGTCTAAAGGAAAACCGACTGTAGATGAGGATCCAAACTATCGAGTGTACGTGTGGAATTTTCATCTCGAGCCGGGAAAGTGGAATAAAGTATTGAGATTTCAGCGTGAGTTTCCCGCCCAGCGCGGCCCTCAAGGGCGTAGAAGCAGGATTTTCCAATGGCTCTACCTTATATTAAATATCGAAGTTTTAGGTAAATACAAGGTTGGACTAATTATTTTTTGGAACGCTATAAAAACGTTGGAAAATTATTTTAAATTTGTACCATTTATACAGAACTTAAGAGTATGATATTAGTATTAATGAAAATGTTAAAATAAACCTTATAAAGTGTTTTTCGCGTTAAAAAAATTTATAAAAGCGAAACACTGTATAAAATAAAAAAATTAGTCAAACCTTTGACTTTTAATTCTCATAAGGGTAAGCCCAGATAGCACAAGATGTCCTGAGGACATCCGGTTTAAATCCTTTACAGACGGTCGCGACCAGAAAACCGATGGACGTCCTGAGGCCTAGGCCTATGGACGTCCTAAGGCCTAGGCCGATGGACATCCTGAGTACGTCCATCGGTTTTTTGCCTGCGACAATAGTTGAAGATACAAGTTGATATATCACCCTTTATAAAGGCCTCAGGACGTCCATCGGTTTTCTGGTCGCGACCCGGGTCTAAGTGAAAAAAAATTACACCTTGTTTTTTATTAAAAATACTCCTTAATCAAGCACGATAAAAGATTTTAAAAAAAAGTTGTCAATTTTTTTTCACTTATATGTCTATAGATAGACCCTTTATCCACTTAAGTGGAATTGTGTCTTTAGTTGTCAAGTATTTTTAGCAATTGCAATTTTCCATATCTCTAACTTATTTAAAAATATCTAGTAAAATTAATTAATTCATTGCATTAAAAATATCATTACAAATTTTAAAAAATTATTTTTAATTATATTATATATATTAGGTATATTATATTTTTAATTTGTTGAATAAAAAATATCACATTGGCCAAATTAATAATTTGAATTAATAATATTATATGAGAAATGTATAATACGAATTAAAAATACCATTGGAGAAATTTCTCCACTTTAACATTTAAATTATTTAATTTGTCCTATAATATTTTTAATGCAATAAATTGTAAGAGTTTATTTCAAATTTACCGCCAAATAAACAGTTGGTATTGGAAGTAACCAGTTTAGTGACTTTAAGTTGGCAGTCTGAAATCCGCCATGTTGGCATTGTTCATAAAACAGCGTGTGCTGTTTTTAGTTAGCTCCCTGTTTAGTTAAATTTCTGTGTATTTAAATATATGATATAAGTGAAAATAACTTTTATTATATGGAAAAACCCCTACAAAATTTAAGTTTTCACTTGATATTTTTAAATAATTTAGAGATATGAAGGTATGTGAAATTCAATGGAGAAATAAATAAAAATAGTATTATGAAAGGTTTATTGTTTTAACTTAAGGAATATATGGTTAACGGATTGACCTCCTTTTCCCGGACACCCTGTATATATATATATATATATATATATATATATATATATATATATATATATATATATATATTAACAAAACACTTGTTAACACTGTATTACATTTCCCTATTATAATAAAACTATGTCCTAATTCGGTCCTCATATGTCCCGAATTGGACAGCTTGGGGTCAAATACGGACGTCCTGAGGACATCCTATTTCGGAAGTCTGTGGACGGTCAAATACGGACGTCCTGAGGACATCTGAAACAGTCTATTTCGGAAGTCTGTGGACGTACTACGAACGTACTTTTGCAGACCCCGGACATCCTGAGGACGTTCGGGTTGTCCTGGGTGGAAGTCCTACGAACGTCCTACGAACGTACTTGTGCTATCTGGGAGGCTTTCTCAAGTGGACCCGAATTTACCAAGGGGCATAATTTTATAAAAAACAAATTAATTTAATTTTATATATATTTTTTTAATGTAATATATTTTAAACGAAAAAAATAAAGAATTGTAGTTAAATGTATTGCAATTTTTTTAAGAAAGCACTGGTGAAATGTTTGATTATAAAAAATATTGAAGTTAATATTTTTTTTATAAAATTAATGTGAAGTTATCTCCTATAAAGGGACTGTGTTATACAATTCCAACCCTTAGTAAATTCATGGTCTCATTATTTAAGTTTTTTGGGCATCCGTGATTGGCCGATTTAAATATTTACTGTGATTTGAATCGGGTTTTAAATTTTGAGAAGGTGACTATATTAACATTTAAAATTGGTAAAAAGTGAGGTTAACCATTTTACAGATTTTTAATTTATTTTTGAAAATCATTTAATTATCTACTTATTGAAAAAGATCCAGTATAGTATTACACTCGAGATTATGCGCATTTATCACTCGGATGATTTAAGTCTCTCGTCTGGAGACTCGAGACGCAAACCTAATCCTCGTAAATAATAATATTTTCTCATTCATCATTTTATTAGGTATACATATTAAAAATTATGAACGTTACATTTTTAAAATAAATTTAACCAAGAAAAATGTATAGCAAAATTTTTAGTTCATAATCATATACCTATAATTTATAGTTATGTTCATAATATACAGGCTGTCCCGAACATAACTTTATACAAACCTATTAAAGGATGTTATATTATTACTATTTCTGAAACGGTTTGGGATTAAATAATGTATTTTCGGGAAACATATATACGTAGTAGTACGTAGTTCGTAGTACGTTATTTATTTACAATGAAAATAATGGTCGAAGAAGTTGGAATGTCTCGGTTTGGATCGTGGTGTGAACTGATTCGGTTTGTTTTGGACGACTGATACTGTTTATTTTTGACGACTCATTCGGTTTATTTTTGACGACTGATTGATTAGGAGGTATAAGAATGGATTTTATATTTACGATACAGGTATTTCTGACGTCACGTACAATTTGTACGTCGGTTGCGTTCGGGTCAGGTTTTTTCGAATTTCTGGGATTTTGGATAGGAATTTTACAAAGGATAAGGTGCGGTATATTGTGTTGTAAAAGTGGGCTGTAGAAAACTTTATTGGGGACAGGATTTCGTTTAGGCCTCGACATTTCAGCGTTCATTTTCTCGAGGTAGACAGTCTGGGCGTCTAGGTGGATGGTGGGTTGATGGTGTCCTCCGCCCCTTGTCTCCAGGCATTTCGTCCTCTGGTGGGGTCTCGGATGAACTTTGAGGTTGTTCGGGAAGCTCGTCTGTTAGGATGTATGCCGGTTTAATCGGTCTATTGAGACCGTGACTTCTATGCCGTTGATGGCGATGGCGAACGTCTTGGGTCCGCGACGTACAACCCAGTATGGAGCGGTCCTTTGGGCGCATTGTGTCGCACGAAGACTTGCTTGGTGGTGGCCAAGTCTTTGAACACGAACGGTTTTCGTTGGCCATGTCGAGAACCGCTGGTTGGTCGGACATCCTGGAAGTGCTGTCTCAATTCCCTGACGAAATCGGCTGCATTAGTCGTGTGGCTGTTGGTACGGGGCACAAGGAACTCCCCAGGAAGTCTCATTACTGCTCTATATACTAATTCCGCTGCTGAGGCTTGGATATCCTCTTTCCAAGCTGTGTTGTTGACATTGTATACACGCAAGGGCCCATTCTCGGCAAATCTTTTTCACCGATGGCCATACGTAGCGCTGGGTTACGAGCTTGACGATGGTCTTAATTCCAGGATGCGAGATTTGGGTACGTCCGTGTGGACGTGCTTCGGCAAGCTCGGCTAAGGTGTCCAACGTGGCGCGCTTTTGAGTCGCCTAGATGGCTTGGGTTTCCGTCTGGAGTGGCTCATCCAGAGGGTGCGGATGATGTTTTCCGACACTGCCGTGCCACCGAGGTTGCGAAGAGGTTACCAATTTGCGGGGGTTATATTCGTGAATTTAAACACGTGTATTGTTCTTAGTACGTTTTTTATTTACACTGAAAATAGTGGTAAAGCTGACTGTCGCGGCCCGAGAGAATGGTCGAAGAAGTTGAAGTGTCTCGGTTTGAAATGTGGTGTCAACTGATTCGGTTTGTTTTGGACGATCGATCCGGTTTATTTTTGATGACTGATTCGGTTTATTTTTGTCGACTGATTGATTAGCTAGGTATAGGAAATTTGTCGGTTGCGTTCGGGTCAGGTTTTTCCGAATTGCTGGGATTTTGTAATTTTGATAGGAATTCTACGAAGAATAAGGTGCGGTATATCGTATATCGTATATCGTATTATATTATATATATATTATATTATAAAAGTGGGCTGTAGAAAACATAATCTGGGCCTCGACAGTCCAGCGTAAATTTTGTCACGTAGTTGTAATAAATGTTTTAGAATTTTTGCCTGATGTGTAGTGCTCCATGGAGGTAATGCCGCTACATATATATTTTTTTATTGATATTTCTTGTTAAATATTTATATTAAATATAATATAAGTTTGAAGTACACTTATAAGTTTGGAGTACTGTTGAAACAAAAGCACGGTGAG